CCACAAGTAACAATCCCCCTAGGTAGTCAATCTATAGTAACATTTTGGATTTGAAATTAGAGGAATCCATGAAGTGGGAAAGAAGCTAAGGCAGTGCTGGGATTCATGTGCTTGCAAACTTTGACACTGAGATCCCCAGCAGCTCTTGCTCTGGCAACGAGCACATGGTGAACCTGAGGCAGTACAGAAATAAATCAATTTCATAAGAAGCGTCAAAATGTGGGCAGTAACAAGTGGGGAAAAGGCGAGACCAGGGCTTTTCCTTCTTCTCTCTGCTTATTGTGAAAGAAAGAACAGATGCCAGAAAATGTGAAAATCTGCATTTTGCACTTTGGTGTGCCATATTTAGCCCTTGCTTATAGATATCCTTATTATTTTTATTACACAGTGATATTCTCCAAAATACGCTTTTGTTTGTGTTCCTTCACAGAGGAGGGTTTGTAAAGTGGCAACAACTGAGTGTGCCACAACTCCCCTTCAGAGTTTCAAAGTTGCCATTGGTACTGCTGATAGATAATTCACCAGTAATGACTAAAAGATTTAGTGTCAGCTAGGAAAACATCTCAAGGGTGAGTCCCATCCAGATCTGTTGGGGGCTTCCTAATTTTTGTTGGGTTTGGGTTTTTGTGTTTTGTTTTAAGAAAAGTTGGTGTGAAATAAAATGCACTTAGAAATAAGAGGAGGCATTACAGGTACCAGGAATGTGATTCAAATTGTCTCAAATAAAAAAGAGAAGTAGTCCTACATAAACAAGACAAAAAGTGATAAAAATGAGGACAAGGGGTTTTAAAGTTACAGTGGAATAAGAAATAAATGCAAGTTAATTATGCACTCCTCTTTTTTTTTTAAAAAAAAAAAAAAAAGGGCAAACTTGGCATGCACTAGCAGACAAAAACAATAGGATAAAGGAGGTGCATAAAGGTGTATGCCTATGTATTTATATAGATTTGGTTTTTAATTCAATTTGCTACTGGTGAGGTCCCTAAGAATCTTGAGTACAGGAAGCCTGAAAGATGCAGACAAACAGGCAGAAGTGCACAGAGAAGTGACAAGGCTGGTAAGGGCTGAGGAAAATGATCTAAGAAAGACTGAATAAATTAGGATTGTTTATCTAGAAGAGAGAAAACTAAGGGAAAAGTGTTGAGCATTTCAAATATATATTTTTACCAAAGTATTACTAGTGAGAATATTCTTCTCAATGTCAATGCTTTCTTTGTTTTGTGAGAACACTCAATCATGACTTTCTATATTGCATATGGTGGTTTATAGAGATTGATGAATAGTTGGTTCTCTATGTCCAACAAAGGACAAGAGAAAATCAACGTAACTTGCTATGCAAAAAAACATAGGGAGTATTCTGAAGGACTTTTTTACTCTTCAGGTAATTAATTTCTAGAACAGGGCACCAAAAAAAAAAATCCACCCTTACGTAATGTTCATCACTGAAAGTTTTGATGAAGTTAGATAAACACCTGTGAAGGATGGTTGAAGTTTACTTCACCTGGCCTCAGTGTACATGGTATGACTAGGGATCTGCTGAAGTTTTCTCTAGTCCTACATTTCAATAGAAGAGGAAGGAATAAATCAATCCAAAGGGTTCCATTACTTTTTAATGCTTCTTCACTTATAGTTTTATGCATTCCCTCCTGTAATTCTCTCCTTATTGGTGGTGATCATATTGTTGGTACTAATTAAGAGTACTCATCTTTATAATAGAAAAGACCAGTAAACATAAAGACAGAACCATATGCAGAAAATGGTCTCTGTCCAGAGCCTGCAAAGGCAGAACAGCCACACGATAAAGGGAAAGCATGAAAAAACACATTTTCCCCAATTTCCCTCTCTGTCTTTATATCTTCCTTTGCTCTTGCAACATTAATCTCCAACATTTCTCAGATTTCCCCCTATATTTGAGATTCTTTCCCACCAGTTTTTCTTATCCAGGACTTGAATGTGTTTGCATGAATTCTATGTAAAATGGCAATAACATGGGGGAGAGGTGGTTTCCTATGAACATGATCTTTCCTTGCCTAAAATCTGTACATAACCCATCTTCATAAACCAGCTGATCAAGACTTGAAGAGGCAGGGCAGTGTGTCTCAAATCTTTTCAAAATAATAATCTTACAAAAACAGTATGGCTTGCTCCAAAATCTCCTTGAATATACGCTGTCACTATTTTTATTTTTGCCTGTACTGTGCTTATGAAGGTCTGAAAATGGATGCCAAATTGCTGCAATGATTGGTACCTATAAAATTGTGTTTTAAAAAGTGATAAATGTAGGGGACTGTCAGGTTCTACACTTAGTCTTAATCTTTAATCAAGACTGGAACAGACCATGTAATTTTGAACTTTTATGGTAAAACTGTATGTGGAGTTAAAGTATCCACTTGTTTAGACTCTACTGGGGTCATATCCATCTCTCTCCCTGACATTAGCAAAATTACTGTAAACTTACAAACTTACAGTTAAATAGTTCTTAAATGTTTGGAAATGTTGTCTTCTACTGCTCGTTCTTTGACATACTCAAACAAATAACAATACCCAGGACTTACTTTTTACCAGAGTAGGCAAGGCATCATCACTAGTAAATGTTTTCCTTTATAAGTTGACAATGGTCTTGTTAATTGTGGACACATCATTGAAGTTTATAGGTGCCACTAAAAACTTGTGGATCACTGTTCATAACTATAAAATCTCATGATTTTTTTGTTTGGGAAGGTTTCAGAGCATCTCAAAATGACTGTACAGCAAATGTTGAGTGGCAACTTTGTTTCAAGGTGGTTGTTCTTCGCTTTGGATTGGACTTTTATTGTTTCTGTTTGGTTTTGCTCTGTTTTATTTTGGTTTTTAATGCAGCAAGTCACCTGCTTGCATGAACTGAATGTTTATTTTCTACTGGATGCCAACTTGCAACTTTTATCTAAAATATATTGCACCTCCAGGGATGTGAGGCTGCTTGTAAAAATTAGACTGGAACTCATAAGCAGAGAAAAGTTTGTAAATACACAGCAGCAAAATAAATAAAAATAAAATAAATATTAATGTGGAAGGTAACTATGCACTACAGCTATATTTTCTTGAAAGAATAGCATGAGGTCAATCCACAAAGAATGTAAAGAAGATAATTCACCCTAAATTCACCATGCAATATTTACATAAATAAGTGAAAGCAATGCCTAAGGAAAAGATGAATGCATACTCTCTGCCTAAGCCACAAATCGTTAATACAAAATTATAAGTATGTTCAAGCCCAAATTAAAGCTACTTATATGTGTGCTTATGTTATATTCCCTTGGGTGGTCCAGCTCCCTTCTGTGAAACCATTCATGATAACACAGTTAAGCATGTGTACTCAGAGGAAGAGAGTGTGAGGTCTCATAAATAAATCCTATTATGTATTATCTGATAAAGTTGTTTTTACATCAGTATCAAGCTTAGAAACAAGCAATACACATTACTGGGCCAGATTTGAGTTCAGTGTCCTGTCACAACTGTCTAGTGCTAGATACTTGAGAGGAATGAGCATGTACACTGAATATGGGATGATTTTTGCTCACAGTAGCCTTGTATATCATTAAATCCTTGACTCCAGAGACTTTCCAAGTCAGCAAATTTCATAATCCAGGTTTTTTTTAAAAAAAAAAAAAAAAAAAAAAAACACCAAACAAAAAACCAACTAAAAGAAACCAGAAACTTCCTTTCAACAATTTTAAATTTGCCGTTCTCATCTATGAGAGGATGTCCTCTTGCTTTTTGGTTATCAGATTGAGTGTGTAGATATTCCAAACTTCCTGTATCTGTTCCAGTTGCCCTGATACACGTATCATGCCCCACTAGTTTGTCTACTTTATATTTTTTTGTTCTTTTGAATCATTCTTCATACAAGCATCTTTTCTATTCTCCATTCTTTTACTCCTTGTTTCTAAATTTGCAACATTCATTCTTAAATGGAGTTTTCAGCATCATACACCATTTCAAAATAAGCTGCCGTACTCGCATAATGACATTTTTTTGTATTATTTCTGGCTTGTTAAATTTGTCTGGGCTGCAAACTGGGCTCTTTAGTTATTGTTCAGTTCCCTTTCCTGTGCAAGTATCATTGAACTAATCTGTGTGCTTTTGCAAGGCATGTTACTTACATTTGTCAACATCAACCTTCATTTGAAACGTGACTGGTTATCTGCCTCTGAAGCTTCTCAGAACTTGAGTCATTCTGACCAACTAGTAAGGCCAGGAAGCAGGTCAAGTTTCAGGATAGGCTGAAGTGAAAATTGCAAGCTTAACCAAAAACTCTTAAACTTAAGTTCCGTTTAAGAGTAATGTCAAAGTAACGGTCCAGGTTTTCATGTTGCCTGGGTTTGGTGTTGCTTTCACCCGGTGACAGTGGCCTGACTGGCTGCCGCCTTTCCGCACCAGCAGCCGTTCAGCAGTGCCGCCTGCCCGCCCGGGCTGAGGAACCGCACCCAGAAAACTGCCTACTTCGCCATACCCTTCTCCTCCCCTTCTCCTTTCTGTAACCATATAGCTTTCCACAGCTGCTTAGTTTTCGGTTTGGTTGGTTTGTTTTTCCTCAAATACGAGGCACTGTGCTGGAAGCCTCTGCAAATCTGAGCCGTCGCTGTAAAGAGCAGGAGGGAAATGGCCTCGCTCGCGGAGGCTATAGCGGGCACACACACGGATTTACAGCCCTCTCCTGCCTCAGAGCACGCAGGAGCGTCGCGGCTGCCTCCTGACCCCCCCCCCTCCACACCCCCATGAAGGTTTCCAACCCTGCGTGCGCTTGGCTCGCGTCTGTCCACGGCCACGTTACACCCACCGCCCCTCCCGCGCATGCGCCGGGTCTGGCGCCGGGGGAGGGGGGGTGGGGTCGTAGGGGAAAGGAGAAGCGGCGTTGCGCATGCGTGCCGGTCGCCGGGGTGGGAAGGCAAGGGGGAGGTGTGCGTGCAGCCGGCGCTCCTGCGGGCGGGCTGTGCGCATGCGCCGGTGTGGGGGGGTGGTGGTGTTCAGTCCGGGCACCGCGCATGCGCGCCGGCCGGCAGAGTGGAGCCGGGAAGGTGCGCGCAGAGGAGCCGGTTCGCCGCCCCCGGGGTTGGGCCGGGGCCTGAGCTGCGTCGCGGGCCCGAGGCGGGCCGGTGCTCGGGAAAGGCCCTTTGTCGTGGGCTGAGGTGAGCCGGCCATCCGCCGGTCCGGAGCGCCCGGGTTCCGCCGCCAGGCCTCCCGGGGCGGGCCTACTGTCTGCTGCCGCCGCTGCTGAAAGGAGACCGGGGCGCGGCGGCGGCGCCGGCAACCGCCAGGATGAAGCTGGTGAGGAAGGACCTGGAGAAGGATAATGCGGGGCAGGTGACCCTGATCCCCGAAGAGCCCGAGGACATGTGGCACACCTACAACCTGCTACAGGTGGGTGACAGCCTGCGGGCCTCCACCATCCGGAAGGTGCAGACCGAGTCAGCCACGGGCAGCGTGGGCAGCAACCGCATCCGCACCACTCTCACCGTCTGCGTGGAGGCCATCGACTTTGACTCACAGGCCTGCCAGCTGAGGGTCAAGGGCACTAACATCCAAGAGAATGAGTATGTCAAGATGGGGGCTTACCACACCATCGAGCTGGAGCCCAACCGGCAGTTCACGCTGGCAAAGAAGCAGTGGGACAGTGTGGTGCTGGAGCGCATCGAACAGGCCTGCGACCCAGCCTGGAGCGCTGATGTGGCAGCTGTGGTCATGCAGGAAGGGTTGGCTCACGTCTGCCTCGTCACTCCAAGCATGACACTCACCCGCACCAAGGTGGAGGTGAACATCCCCCGCAAGCGGAAAGGGAACTGCAGTCAGCATGACCGGGCCCTAGAAAGGTTTTATGAGCAGGTGGTGCAAGCCATCCAGCGGCATATCAACTTTGAGGTGGTGAAGTGTGTACTGGTGGCTAGTCCAGGCTTTGTACGGGAGCAGTTTTGTGACTACATGTTCCAGCAGGCGGTCAAGACTGACAACAAGCTTCTTCTGGAGAACAGGTCCAAGTTCCTACAGGTAAGGAGCTAAACAGTCATCAGGGTGGGTAAAAAGAGGCTTAAGAGCTGTTTGATAATAGAAGATAAAGACAGGGATGATGGGAGATAACTTGCTGCTTAGAGAAAATAAATTTCTGTCTCAGTATCATAAGGAAATTATTCTCCTACCTCCCAAGCTATAAGGTAGTTATGCAAGATACGGGGATGGTTCCTTCCTATGATACCTTCATGTGGACTAGAGAAAGTGTTAAATATTTCAAACTCCCTATAAGGGCACAGTTAATCTTCAACTAAGAGTGAAGTTGGAAGATAGTTTAGCTGTAGTGTTAGTCTGTCATACTATATAGCATGAATGTTTAATAACAGCTTTCTAAGGGTTTTTAAACACAAGTACCTGGATGTGCTGGAAGTTAGTTAATTTTGTTAGTTTTGTGCTACATAGTTAAACATTATGCAGGCCCAAACATTCTTTCCTGTTCATTGGTCATCTCACTGTTTGAGAGGGTGGGATTTTTTGCCTTTCACTGAAATAGGCTGAGAGCCTAAAATAAGTTTTCCTTTTCATAAGGATACTTGTATCATTTTTTAATTGGAGTAGGCCTGTACTCTGAGTTTTGCAAAAGGCTGGGAGGTTGCAGGGCAGGGGCAGTGGGGACAGTGTGTCCTAGAACTTAATGGTCAAGAAAGTTAGGAGACACGTTGCACTAAGAAGCCTCCTTTTGTATTTGCAGCAAAGTGATAATAGTGTGTAAAGTTTTCATGTACTTCCCAGCTTTGCAAGATGATGCTTTTGCACTATATGTCTGCAGTCTTAAGAGATCTTCCGTTTACTGAATTTAAGAAAAGGATCATGTAGGTGTAAAGAAAGAAATAACTTCTTTGGCTAGTTATCAAGATAAATATTAGATATAGTGGAAGCTCTTTGTGATTGGCTAATCAATAAAATGATCCTTTTTATTAAAAAAAAAAAAAAAACAAAAACAAACAAATCTTTGACTTTTTTTACCCTAGGTCCACTCTTCCTCAGGACATAAATACGCATTGAAGGAAGCCCTCTGCGACCCAGCTGTAACAAGCCGTCTCTCTGACACTAAGGCAGCTGGTGAGGTCAAAGCCTTAGATGACTTCTATAAAATGCTGCAGCATGAGCCTGACCGAGCTTTTTATGGCCTAAAACAGGTGGAGAAGGCTAATGAAGCTATGGCCATCGATACCTTGCTGATCAGTGATGAGCTTTTCCGGCACCAGGATGTGGCCACACGTGCCCGTTATGTTAAATTGGTAGATAGTGTACGGGAGAACATGGGCACAGTACGCATTTTCTCCAGCCTTCATGTGTCTGGAGAGCAGCTTGGCCAACTGACAGGGGTGGCAGCCATCCTGCGCTTTCCTGTTGCTGAGCTCTCTGACCAGGAAGATGAATCTACCTCTGAAGAGGATTGATAACACTGACTTCACAGTTTCTTTTCCAAGTCATGTTGAAATGACATTAAAGGCCCTCGCTTCCTAAATACTGCGTGCAGATGTGCCATGACATGTAATTTAAGCTTTTGGTAGTGTTTCTTGGATATCTGTTCTATGGTAATGATTATTTGTATAGTTTGCATTGGAGCTGACTGTTTTTGCAAGTTTCACCCTGGCCTTCTGGCAGTACAAAAAAATTAATTTGACTGCCCAAAGCTGCTCATTCTGCATGTTAAGGCAGACTGACAGCTTAGTGTTTTGGAATGTGTATGAAACGATAATAAACTAAGAGGGAGGAAATTATTCCAGACTCTATTTCTGTTCAAATGCTTGATAACAGTATTGCAAAACAAATGTAAACTCCATGTAAGACCTATCAAAACTGTGCTTGATATTCTTAGGAACTCGTCATTCTTCCTAAGGTTTGGCAGAGGAGTGGGATCAACGTCATCTGTTAGGGGGTTTTGTGGTGTTATGAGTCTAACCACTTAAATATTTCTGTGAAACACTTGAGCCAATCTTTCTGAAACCAGACCCATGCAAGACAAATTGCAAAGTTCAGTGCACCCATTTCAGTTCACTTTGAATGCTGTTATCTTGGGAGACTGTCCTGAAGGCAAACAACGTATGATGTATCTTCTCATTGACTGTGTTCTGATGAACTGACATTGGGATTAACTAGCACCCCATTCTGAGAAGGAATATGAAAAGGCTTACGAAATCAGGACCTCAGTTTCCATGAGGGATCTTTTGAGAACAAATAGTTTAAATAGTTTAATAATCTGGTCAATTTTTCTATTTGTGTACCTCTTTAAAAACATACATAAACTGTGCTACAGAAGTAGATTACAAATTTATAAATTGAACTTCAGTTTAAGATAATGACAAAATCAAAATTACTTTTACAGTTACTTGATCTGCTCAAACATAACAATTCAAGATTAAGAATAAAAAACCAAAACTTTTAGTATGGGTAGAATAATTTTAGGAAAGGTATTTTTAATGGTACTCATATGTTGATGGGTGCCAGTTTTGTGAATTTGATAGTACCTATTGCTAGCTGAAGCATCAGCCTAAACTCCTTGATAGAGAAGTACTTTTGAGTTAAAAGGCATTTCCCCTTTTCCCATCATCCACACAGTCTAAGGAATGCATGAACAGAACTTTAGCCTTAGAGCTGTACTTTATTAACCCTTTGATGCTTCTCACTGAAGGCAAGCAAGCCCATTAAGACAATTATTTAGAGTCAGCTTGAACAGATAAACTATGTTTGAGCTTACATTTTTGTCTTGAATGGTGTTGAGCGCCACAAGTCATAGAATGCTCAGGTAGGCTTCCTTCAGCAGTTAAGACAGGTTAAATCATTATAATAAAACTTTTTTTTTTTTTTTTAATCTGCCTAAACTGATTATATACTTTACCTGCTAGAAAACATCCTCATTCCTGCTGTATACAGAGTGAAAGGTAACAAACATATGAAACACGTAGAATAATAATATTACTTCAATAAATATTACTTTCATGCAGCAAACTGTGGCTTTAAACAGGTTCATAATGTCTAAACAAGGTCATTAATTTCTTTAAAATAAGCTGGTATATTAGTATTTCCCTTATAAGTAATGCTAATTTGTTACAATTGTACACAAATTAAAAATTGTAGTACACCAGGAAATTCTTAGTTTAATTCTCAACAAACTGAGAGACAAATAAAACTGTTCCTCAGTTGTGGAATGTTTTGTTTTCTATTAGACGAAGTTGTTTCAAATTATTTCATGTTAAACAAGAAACTATGAAGAATTTTTGCTGTGTATATAAGATTACAAAGTCAGTTCTGCAAGTCTGTGTTTTGTGCTTGTGGTAGTGTATCACCAAGGAAAAGAAAAGAAGCAGCCACTTTGCTGCTTATTTGGGGTTTTTTAAACTATGACAGCAAACATCTGGTAAGAAAATATGTTCATAGTGATTCTTTGAATTATTTACACTTAGAATTAAAATTGTGCACTGGATTTACAATTTATGTGTATTTATCTTATTTTAGCTATTGCTGTCATAGTATTAAGTCTCTGAAAGAAATGTATGGAAGTATGGAAGGGTGGGATTTTTTTGTTTTTGTAAGCATTTTTGTAGTAAAATAAATACACAGTCACTATGTAGACAACTGTATCCTGTTTCAGGAAACAGCTTAAGGGTTTGATATTGAAAGTAGGCTGTGTTCAGTAGTTGCAGATGCTTGACATGGCAGAGTTCCAGGTTTCCTAGTATCTTTTATGTTTGAAGAAATTTTGAATAGTTGAAAAATCCATATTATCAAAGATGCTTACTTAACACAGACCTTAATGTCTGTGTGTAGATAACACACAGAAGATGCATGTTATCTACAGATCAAATGAGTAAGTGCTACAGCCATGGGAAAATACTTTTTGTCTTTCTTTGCAACGAAACATACATGAACTAAAAACTGTCTGCAGTATGAAAATTGTTCTCTTGCACCATAAAGTATTTAGTAATTTTAAACAGTGTCTCAATTTAGTTTCTGATTATGTTCTGACATAATTCTGTGAATTGGTACTATGGCTTATCTTGCAATTTTATAGTTTTCAGAATAAATGAATACAAGTTGTAGGACTTATTAATGTTTGTTATGTTTTGTAGGAAGACAGCTTTAAAATGTATCATGAAATCGGCTTGATCCTGAACACTGCTGTGGTCTTCAAAGGCTCAAATAAATTAATTAATTTAGGTCATAAAGCCTCTCTTACAAACGCATGCTTTGGAGCAGACCCCAGTTTGTTAGTTGTGTCACCTCTGTCATTAAATCCAGTTATTATATAATTTTTTTGCGGTTGTTTACCAAATAAAGTTTGGTGCAAAACACAAGGTCACCACCAGCAAGAGACCAAAATATTCCTACTAGTTATAAAGCAAAATGAAAGATAAATCTTTCAGTAAAACTCTAAAACATTTAACAGTATTTGACCTAACGAATTCCTCACGGCCCTCCTATCTTCGCCCTTGTACACTATGCGAATAAAATGATGGTAATTAATGACCTTTTGACCACTCACCACCAGTGTAACAAGACACCATAGCTCTTCAGCTTAATTTGTGATGTTATTAGAATGTTTTTAAAGCCATGTAGATAAATGAAGTAATTTTCATTTGCTACTGTTCTCTCAAAGGTTAAGTATCCCAGAATATTAAAATATATCTTACCCTTTGAAAATTTCTTTAACTTCTGGGCTGCTGACCTTGGTTTGCCTTCTTCTATGAAGGTGTATTATACCTGCCTTCTCATTTGACTGATTTATTGCTTAAGCCCCTCTAATTTCTCACTGGAAGCTGCATTAGCCATACAGAAAATGTGCTCAGTTTCGTAAACACTAAGTGGGGATAAAAGATGTGATCATTTTTAGACACACGGTCCGTTCACTTTTCTCTCAGATTTTCACATCTCTAACTTTTTAAGGAAAACAAGCCTGTTTCTTAAAGGAATAGAAGTCTAGTTTTGCAGGAAAAAACATATCAGAATATTTGTGCTATTTTGCTATATGAAGCCACATTTGTGCAGTGTGTGATCTCCTGCTTCTACAAAAGATTTAAGAGAGCAATTTTTAAAATGTGAAACTGCTATTGGAAGGTCTGCAATTAAGAATTCTTGTTTATAGCCCAAAATTGGAATTTCTGCAAGACACAATAACAAAAAAGTGAAGGAATTACTTCAGAAAAATACTTATCTTTTGAATATGGCAAAACTTCAGACTTGAACTTTTTTTTTCTTGCTTTCTGATATACTAGTTGCTTTTATTAAGTGCCTCCCCCTTTTTTAAAAAACAAAAAAAACCACACACACACCCCAAAAAAAACCACAATGAAGTTAAAATGTTTGCTTTAGAATGGAATTCTTAAAATGTAGAGCTAGATTCAAATGATGTGGTTCAGGTTGATGATTTGAAGAAGCTTCTTCTTCAAGCTGTTCTAATGCGGGGAATGATACACATCTGGGTGTCATTTCCTTCTCAGTTCTTGTTCAGTATACACCTGCAACTTGTTACAAAGTGAATGATAAAAGTTTTGATGCAGTTAGAAGTTAGGATTCCTGGTTTGGTTTGATTTAACAGATGGTGGGAACACAAGAGAGACATGGCATTGCAGTAGATTATTTTGCAGTATCTGTTTCATCTTTAATGGCCACAACTTGCTTTTAGGGACTGTTGTATTCAGATTTCTTATAGGAAAATAGTATTTTGCAAACTCATTATTCAGCTAATTTAGAGTTAAGAAAATGCCTAACCATTTGGGTCTTGTGATTATTGTTATAATTCTTAATTTAAGCTCTGACATAGATTGAGCCTGGGCTTTTTCAGCAGTGGGAACAGTAAACATACACTGTGGAGCTTCTTGTGTGACAGTTGCCCAAATAATTGCCTAATGAGTGTAATGCTTAGTCCTGCCACATTTTTTATGCTTGACTCAATTAGGGCATTGACTTTGATTTGGGGACAACTGCTTGCATGATGTAGAATATTAAGGAAAGAAATGTCTCCAGTCTAACAACCAAACTATAGTGTATATTCTCTGTAAACTTATGAACTTGACTGTTTTAGAAATTCAGTATAGCTTTTCTGTGAAAAAAATGAGTCCTAAGGTGTCTGAGCCTAAAATAGAGTCTAAGGAAAAGGTCTCTAAAGTCATAGTTGTTTATTATGTGGTCTGAAAATAATTCTTCCTCTTGTCCCACTTGAGGGCTGTACAAGAAACAGAGCTGGGGCTGATAGCAGAGCAGCACTTGCTTCCAAGTCACTGTATTCTGGGAAATGCAACATGAATCAGCAGCTTTCAAACCCTGCCAGCTCTTGTCAGATTTTGCTATATTGATCTCTAATTTATTGCCCTCTTTTGGGGAAATGCTGTGGTCACAGCTAATGTAATTTCTGCCATGCTGCTCTAATAATTACTTTAGAAGTCAAATTAGAGCTGATCATGAATCCTCTGACAAAATAGCTGTTCCATTAGAGAATTAGTTGAAACAAGTCCTCCTTTTTAGGAATGTACATACCAGACTTGGTGGGAAGTTTTTTTCCTCTGGTCTAAATGGAATTTCTAATCAAAGCCAAGACTAGAATAGCGAATAGAGTCTAGGGGTTTAAGGAGTCACATGTGACAGAAGATAGGAAGTTTAAGACCCTTTTCCATTTCATTGTTAACACTAGGCTAAAGATGCTCCCTTTTCTGTCAGTGTCTTTGTTAAGTACAAATCCACATTGTATAAGCAAATAAATATTTTTATATTTTGGCCAAGAGAGCTAAACCACAACTGACTAAGGTATGATATCTCTTGGAATGTGGGAGACAATTTTCAAATTTCTGCTCTGAATGGGACAGGAAAGTGATTGAAAGCTGAGACTGTTCCTACCTAACAGACTTCAGCTGTAGTCTTTATGTTTCAGAAAAAAAAGCCCTGAGTAAGGTTCCATGTTTGAAAAAGATTTTGGACCTGGTGGCAGCCACGCAAATCTGCTTTTGAAGACAGGCAGATTATTTCCCATGCAGCCTTAATACAAACCCTTAGACATTTTGCTTTACTTAGAACAAATGTTTTTAGCTGAAATTTTACTGAAAGCATTTCAGAACAACAAAAGGAAACATAAAATCTATGTAAAGATATGTATGTGTGTGTATAAAGATGCAGTATCCTCAAAGAATGTGGTATCTTCATGTAAAAAAAAAATCTAACTTGAGTCTTCGCTTGTAGTTGCTTTGGTAGCTGAAGGAATGACTCAGGCTGCAGGCTTGATAGTTATCTTCAGGCCTTCAGATTTGTTTATGGTAGGAGGGTCTTGGTAGCAAGTGCTACGTTTAGGATATCTGGCAGTTGTTGAATGCTCATGAACGTTTCCTTCAGTCTTTTCTGAAGCTCTGAAAGCAGCATCGGGTTTTGCTGAAGAGAACTGCCTTTTCTTTGACCGGCAGTGTTCAGCCTGATGACTTCAAGTGTTTAATACTGGTAGAGGTATTTTGGTTTAAGTGTGAGAGAAATCCATTAATTGCATTTGTTTATCTTACCCAAATAGTTGCTGTAAGATGACTTCCTCTCCCTTTGGTAAAGAGAACTCTTTTATCCCATAGAAATTATTCTATTCCTGAATGGAAATTGCTGTTCTGCTATAGGGTGACTAAGAGAAGCTGAAACAGACTTTCTCCAGTTATGGTGAAGGAAGAACATCAGTTGCCTGCCAGGACAGCCGTGCCTCCTGGGGCAGCAGCTGCCTGCGCTCCCAAGCTGTACCTAGGAGCTGCTGGGACAGTGGTGGTGAGAGGCAGGAAAGGAACAGCTGCCTTATGAGGGAGCTTTTCCAATTTCCCCAGCCATGAGAAAAGATGAAAAGCTATGTGTTGTGGTTTGAGCCCAGAAGGGAACAGCACCACACAGCCGTTCACTCACCCCTTCCCCTCTCAGGAATAGGGAGGAAAAAATAAGGTAGAATGGCTTGGGAATCCAGCTACGGACAAGGAGGGGTATTCACTCATTATGGTCACATGCAAAATACAGACTCGTTAGAGGAAGAAAACCCATCACTTTAATTCAAATGCTAACAAAGACAACACTTAACAGACAAGGTGGGACAGTGAGAAGTGCAACCACATCTAACCCCTCCCTTCTTCCTGGGCTCAGCTTTGCTCCCCACCTGTCTCCTCCCCCAGCAGCGCAGGGGGCAGGGGATGGGGGTTACAGTCAGCTCACTGCTCCTGCCTTCTCGGGAGGTGGGGTGAACGCCGCACATCCCTCCCCTGCTCCACGGGGCTCCCCTCTCACTGGAAACAGTCCTCCAAGAACCTTTTCCAGAGTGAGTCCTCCCCATGGGTAACAGCCATTCCCGTGCTGCCCTGGCATGGGTTACCCCTACGTGTTACAATCCTCCGAGTGCCAAACCACAACAGCGGGGGCCACTTCTCCCCTTGGAGACCCAGCTTCTTTTAATTGCAGGTGCCTGTCCTGGTGTGGGCTCCTCCACTGGCTTCATGTTGGCTTCTGCTCCACCACTGACCTCCATGGGTGGCAGAGGGGAGAGGGGCAGCCCTGCCCTCTCACCACAGGATACAGGGATCTCTGCTCTGGCACACCTCCCCCATGTCCTCCTCCTTCTTTCCACTGACCAGGGTGTTCATCTTTCGCACAACTCCGACTCCTCCTCTCAGGTTCCCTTTCTTAAATACTTTATTACAGAGATGCAGCCACCATCACTAATTGGCTTGGCCCTGGCCACAGGCAGGTCTGACTTGGAGCCAGGGGAGCTTTCAAGAATATTCTCCCAGGGGCCACCCCTGTAGCCTCCTCCCCTACTACCAAGAATCACACCACAGAAACCCAGCACACTGTGCTTCAATGGAAAATATGAGATGCTGTCTTAAGCATGCAGATTCTTCCCCAGAGAGACACAGTGGATGTTTGAAATATCTGTACTCAGTTCTGACAACTCATCCTCAGTTGAGGGTGAGGTGCCAGATGAGGTGATTAAGCTTATGTCAAAAGGAGAGGAACCTTGAGCCTGAGGCTGAGACTTAAAATTGAGATATTGAGACCTTGCTAATCCTGTCACTATGGAGTAATTTCTGATAAGCATGCTACACGTCACACATGGAATTATTGCTGTATCCGAGTCTTGTGAAAGACTGTCTTTGTTTCCTTTCATACCTGTCTGAAAGCCACCTTCTTTTTCAAAAGTAGGAAGTATGTAGTACTTTGTGTA